ACCACAAAAAGCCAAATGGTACATTCACACCAGGTATCGTAGCGCATTTATTATTCCGCTGGCAAGTACAGGCTGTTGTTGTTATCTAGCAGCCTTATTTAGCGTGGTTATTCGACACGCTCCGCGCGGTGCTTTGTACGCCGCGCCGCTGAGATATACTCTCTTATTGTATGCATATTACTCTACACTTTTCATTTGCCTTCTTAACGAGCGAGATTAAGCACGGTGTGTGTGTGTCGTAATTTTTAAATTAACGCGATCTCCGCAAAATCACGGTCCGTTGGACAAATCTAATTGGAGTAGCGCGCTAATTAAGGTATTTGTCCGGCCTCAGGTTTAAGGTCGTCGTTCAATTATAACAGTCGAGCACTGATGACAGATTGAAGAAGCTATTTATTAAGTCAAAACCGTATGAAATGTGTAAATATCTTTTTGTAGAAAAATTATAAAATTGTAGAAACATCTGCAGTCTATCTTGTTACAACATCTGGTAGAAAAAACAAATTTACAAGTATTTTTAATTAGGTTTATAAAAATCCATAAATATCTGTACTTTATTCATTACCTTAGGATTACTTTAGAAAAGCTTAATACTTTTAAGCTACTCTAAATTAAAGTAAAATAAACCTGATTTCATATTTAAAATAGTCATGCAACTTCTTGACTTCTGTTCATTTGTCTATTAAACTTGGTAATCAAAGGCTGATAGATTCTTGCAACGGTTTCATAACTTTCTAAATTAATAAGCTAGTAAAAAAATTATCTTATCTTCATAACAAAGTCATAATATGTGAAAATTTAATTGAGTCTGCAGTCGTCTGGTCTGAGTGTTCGTTATCAATTATTAACAACGTTTAAGTTAGTCGATCATCGTTTGAGAAAACATTGTTCTAATTCAGAAATTTTGTTACGTTCTTTTTCACAACGAAAGAGCAAAGAATGAGCTTTCAGGATAATTAATATTACAAAGTGAAACATTAATGATCAAGCTTCAAAATATATTAACCCTGGTGTTCTTCTCATTTCTGTTCAAATTTGAAAATGCTTGGAAATAATGATGGAAAAGTGTGAGATATATAAAAACTAGAATTTAGATATATCGAATGAAATATTTAAGAACTACAATAACTTCTGTTATATTTGGATATTTCATAGAATTTAATCTGTCAAAGTTTGTTGTTGAAAAATGTAAGTTGATGGTTGATTATGTAGAAACAAATATGTCTCCCACACCATGATATTCAAAAATTAATACAAATTACTGTATTTCAATTGTATCCATTGAAAATATAATGTTTATTCCTTGTTGTACATAGATCCGAGAAGAACTGCAGGGCAAAAACATTCACTGCAGCAGAGAGTCGAATGAATTTCTTTTGAATTTACTTGAACCTCGGACCAGCCGACGAACAAATTAAATGAATTTACCACTGGCACAGTGTCCTCCTCCTCCTCCTCCTCCTCCTGGACCACCAGTTGAAAGTCTGGCTTCATGGTAATTAACGTGCGACCGGCTCATTAGTCACTGTCATCTAACTCGCTCCACATACACATTATATGCGTAATATGCTTCTGAATTATCGCTTATCAACGGTGTAGCTGGTCGGTTTGATTATCGTTCGAGGAGCGTGCGCGGCGACGCGTCAAATCGTTTATTTTATCAATTTTCCCAAGGCTTATTTCCGTGCCGCAATGATGCTCGATAATCAAGCCGTACGTCAGTTTTGCATTTTTAACGTGACGGCGTCGACTTTTTTTTTATCAGAGACTAACGGAGCCACGAGGTAGTGTTACACTTCTCTGGACGATCCACGAGGATAAAAAAAAAAAAAAAAACGCGCGTCTGTCGACCAGATCTGCGATTAATTATGCATCTAACACAGGTGCAGTGTGAAGACATACGCACCAGGATAAAAAATAAATGCAATATTATAGGAAATAAAATTTATATTATTTTTGAAGTTTTGTTCTTCGGACGACCGAGGATGGAAAATCCGTTTGAAGAGAAAGATAAACGTTGGAAATTTATTTATGAATTAACTGTGGCTCTTCATTTATGATTATCATTAAATGATAGCTTCACTAGTGTTTTGGCGACATTAAAATATCCATAATTGAATAAATTGGTGAGTAAAAACTGAATGTTCTAGACAGCCAATAAAAGATTAAACGCTTTAAATTAGTCGATCGTTCTCGTTAGAAATAGTGGCATAGAGTGTTTAATTAGACGAAAAGTAAATTAAATTACTTGGTTAATTGCAGCATTGAGTTGATTAGGATAGCAATTAGTTGAGCCTTTAAAAAAAAACATTCGAACGAAAATGGAACAAAGAAAACGTTAACATCATTTCTACGATTTCTGTGCTGTTGTCATTGATGTAAATAAAAAAAAAGAATAATATTCCTTAGATTATAATCTATTTCAAACAGTTTATTATAATTTGCCATTTACAGATTCCAAGATAAAAAGATGTAAAATTATATACATTTGTTGCAAAAAAAAAAAAAAAAGTACCATGTGGCGTATTATATAACAGTAACATTAACTTTGAATTACAAAATAATGGCCACTAATTGTTAATCATTCGTTAATTCAATTGTGTTAAAATTTACCTCAGACGATAAAAAAAAATTTCCAAAGTAAATTTTTAAGCAAGAAACAGGACTTAGTTAAATAAAAGGCTATTGAAGAATTTTATGTAGGAAAACTAAGGGATGAATGTAAATTACGAAGTTATGATAAATTATGTCGATGAAATATCGGGCACAAGGTTGAACAGAAATACAGGCAGGTGTTAATTATATAACGTAAAAAAAAAAAAAAAACATTTGTCGCGAAAATGACACGTGTAATAGGCACGAACGGGGACTAAAGTAGCAAAATGTTTTGCAAGAAATGATATTCTTGGTGCTTATAAAAACATATAGATACATACATTTTCCATCATTCGAACTTTTAATTTCGCTGAATTATTTATTACAATTTTATCGAAATAATTAATTACGAATAAATGTTCCAAAGACTCGCAAGCTCTGATTAACTTCGTTAATATATCGATTACGTTTTATTGAAATGTTTATAGACTTTTTTGTAAACAATAAATCTTTTATACGACGACTTATTGAGATTCAATAGAAATCAATTGACTGTGATTAATAAATCGACAACGAGGAACAATTAAATCACCGCGAGCTAATAAATTCTCCAGTGCAGTTAAAGTCGTAAGCGTAAAGGGTACATAAATCACTAATCGAAAAGGCGAGTCTTCTGTGATTTCTTTACTCTGAGGAAGCACGTTTCAGAAGACCGATTCCTCGAACCATTAACTACGGCCTTTTGTCGTGAACATAGTTTGTATTTTGAGCACGTAGACCACCGGTGTGTTACTCGCGAAATACGAATGTCAGCTTTAAAGAAAAAAAAAAAGATGGACTTTGTTGGGTTCTGAATGAAAATCAGTACAATTTTTCGAAGAAAATAAAATATTTTAGATTAGTAATTGATAATAACTTTGCGACATATTTTATTTCGAATGGTGCTAACGAGTAGTAGGCCCAATGTCAGAGATTAAAATATATTTAATGTTGAAATATCTTCTTTAGTGATTAATTGAGTGAAAAATGAGAGTAAATTAATCTTATCACGTTCTTTCAAAAAATTACACATAGTCTTCTCTGGAAAACGTTACTGCGATCTTTCGTTCATTTGAAAAATTCTAATTCTTCCCGCTCTGTTTTTTTCTATAGATGACGTATAATGTGCGCATGCGCAGAAGACGTTCTGTATTAGACGCATCGAGTAGATCGTTCAAAATAATATCTGTATATTTTAGCATCTTATTAACGGCTTGACAAGTGTGTAATTTCTTGGGAGAAGAAGAAAAAAAACGGTGATTAGGTTCAGACATTAGAGTTAAAAATGTTATTTGAAATTATCGTGCCTGCGCTGTGAAGCGAGTAATACGAAATGTAAAATATCGCAACTTGACGATCGATTTATTCATCGATGTTGACATGAAAACGGTTAGAAAGTAAACTTCATCGCGATACACGGACCTATTGAAACATATTTCTTCATATATTGTAATAGATATCTCCGACCTTTCAGTTATTTACAATACACTGCATTTAGAAAATAGTTAGAATGTTTTCCTGCATAAATTTGCATGGCTTATCGCTCTATCGATTAAGTTTCCTACTCGTGAATTTCTTAGGTGACGCAAGTGTAAAAAAGAAGAGAAAAAGGAAGGAAGTGAGGAATTGAAAGGGCGACGTGCATGTAACTAACAGTACGAAAATATAGGTCGAGAAAACATCCAATAAAAGATGCGGGCTACACGCTCTTCAGGTAACGGC